CTTTGACGTCGGTTCGCGATTTCGCCACAAATGTGGCCAAAAATGTGACACAAATTGATTTACTTGTAAACAACGCGGGACTCGGGATGTGTCCCGAATGGCAGACCAGAGAGGGCTATGAAATGCAGTTTGGCACCAATTACCTGGGTAATTATTTAATTTTAATTAATCTTGTTTAAATTTAGTTAATTAAGACCAGTATAAAAATTGATATTTCTATTTTTAGGAATATGAAAACTAGCTATTTGTTTGAAACTAGCTAGATAACTTTGTTTACCATGCTAAACTGTAATATTTACATTTTTATAAATATTTTTATATTTATAGCAGAATATCATTTTTATTATTGGTATAATATTTTGTAGCAATTCCTTTACCGTAATTAATTTTTCAAAAATTTTAATACTGTATATTAAATGAATAATTGTAACTAATAGTGTAAACAATTTAGTACCAATTTTCAGACTAATTATTTAATTATAATTTTATTTTATCTAATTTACATTATTATTACATAATATTTAATAATATTAACAATATTAAAAACACTGACAAACTGTAATAAATGCATAGAGAATTTGACATACATGTAAAAAACACGACCGAATATTTATTAGTGGACTACATCTATCATTTATGATTACCAATATCGAAAACTAGTTCATTAATTGTTTAATTTATAAATGCAATATTTTAGGCCATTTTCTGCTGACTCTCTCATTGTTACCACTATTGAAAAACTCACCGAAAGCTCGCGTAATAACCGTTTCGTCCAATACTCACAAAATGGGAAAAATTAATTTTGAAAACATAAACCTCCGAAACGGGGCCTACAGTGGAGTCACGGCTTACACCCAAAGCAAATTAGCGCAGGTATTGTTCACCAGAGAGTTGGCCAAACGGTTGGGCCCCCAGAGCGCAGTCACCGCCTATTCACTACACCCGGGAACCATCAAAACAGATATATCACGCTCTATGGCCACCGGGAAAGCCATTTACGACACGTTTACCACTTTGTTTTACTTGAGGCCACCAATGGGTGCCCAGACGACCCTGTATTGCGCGCTGGAGGACAGTCTGGACAATGAATCTGGCTATTTCTACAAGTAATTTACATTTAAAACTATTATTATTATCTAGTTATTAATTGATTCAAATTGTTTGAACAGTAACTGCCGGCGCGATCAGCTCTGGGCCCACGCGAGCGATGAGAATACGGCCAAACAGTTATGGGATTTGAGCTGTGATTTAGTTAAACTCGAGGATCACTTCAAACTCGCAGAAAAGCCTATCTCTTAGGCCACTGGAAAATAGTTGATAAATGTTGTCAATTGTTTTGATATTTTATTTATTAATTTGTTAACCAACATAATTATTATATGTTCAACATCAATGAATAAAGCATGGTTACATTGATAATACAATTGTAATACAGTCTATCCCGGTTATAAGCCAATCGATCGGTGCATTCAATATTATTCTCTTATTACCGGGTTTGCCTTATACCCGGGTTTATATTAGTTGACATTTTACCACAAAAAAACAATTATATTTGATACACAATACAGTAATTAACTCAATCACAAATCAATAACGAAAAACACTAATTTATACGATAATACAATGTTTAAAAATATGAATTTTAATACACTTTTGCATTAATACCTCTGTTTTAGGGATAAAATACAAATAATTGCATCAATGTTTAAAACACATGACTTGAAATACAGTATTTACCCTAAATTCGCTTATATGTGGGTCTACTTAACATTATGCGTGCATAACTTATTGTCTCTTATACCCGGGATTCGCTTATTAGTGATTAGCTTATTAGTGGGTTTTAT